ATACTGATTACGTGTGGCAGTTTGGTCCAGATCATTACATATGGGCCAGAAATAAACTCTTTTAATATTTTTCTTCTGTTTTCACTCCATGCTGCAAACTTTATGGCTTCATCTGATTCATATTAAGGTAACTTACCTGTAAGCATTTATTCTGATTGGCTGCTGCTATAAAACTGTATGATTTGGTAAAAAAGCTAAAATATAGAGAAAGAAAGGTGAGGAAAAAAACAGACTGAGGAGCAGAACTTGCTGCTGGAGAATAGAGGAGCTGGACATACACTGGAGTCACGGTGTTAGGAGTGTTAGAGTGGCTCAGGTTATCCTGAGCTATCTCTATAGTTATGCTGCTATAGGCTTAGACTGCTGGAGGACATAGGGACCCTTTTTCATCATTCTGCTTCATTCTATCTCTATTCTCCCACTCTGCAGAATCTGTTAGTTCAATCTCTAACGTTCTGCTCTCTCTGCTTTTTCTCATAGTAGCTTCATCTGGTCTGTTCCTGTTTGGCTGTGACTCCATCCTGGAGAGAAATATCAGCTGTGCTGCTGCCATCAACACCTTTGTTTCTAGATGTTGGAGCTTGGCCTGTTTTCCAGTGTAGTCCTGTTTCTCTGACTGTGACTAACTGGATGTGCTCTCTTCATCCTCTGACATGGGAGCTGGCTCGGAGCTCGTCTGCCTGGCTGTGTGTTTCCTGGACGGGGCCGCCTGTGGAGCTGGTTGACAGTTGCCTTTTGTATCTATGTTATTTTTTCTATGTCTGCTTCTGTCTCCACTGAGCCTGGTTCTGGTATTGCTGGAGATGCAATAATAATAATAATAATTAAACTTTATTAATCTCACATTGGAGAAATTAACCTCCTGGAGGCAATTGGGGGTTAAGGGTCTTGCTCAGAGACCCAGAGTTGCAGTCTGTGGGAGTGGGGCTCGAACACATAACCTCAGGAATCCAAGCTCTACGCCCTAACCACTAGGTCGCCACTCCCCAGGTTTCTTCCTGTTCAAAGGGAGTTTTTCCTCTCCACTGTCGCTACAAGCACGCTTAGTGTGAGGGATTGCTGAAGAGTCAATGAGTCGATGCAATCAGCTGGTTTTCCTTAGATAGAAAACGTTGAACCAATCTAACTGTATGATCTGGTGAACCTTGAGATAACGTGTTGTGAATTTGACGCTATAGAAATAAACTGAGTTGAAAAGAATGAGCTGAAACCACCACAGAACAACATCCAGCATCAAACTCTGCTCACCTCCACCTTTGGTCTTCTTGCAGCTCCTGCACAAAGCTGCTGTTGCAGCATTTCTCTCCCAGCATGCCCTGCTGCACCCCATGAAGCACTAAGAGCGTTTATGTGCTGTTACAGGGGCTGAGCAGAGGAAACAGAGCTAACCACGCCGAGGCCGCAGGCTGACGTGAAACAACATGCGGAGTGGAGAAAAGCTGATGGTGAAGAGGCGACAGACGGAGACAGAAACATAAAGGTTCTCCTCCTAAACCCAGAGGGACAGCGTCCAGCGGGAAGATGGAGTTCCAAGCTGTCAGAGAGAAGAAGAAGCCACAGGCTTCATCGGCAGGTGCTCAGAGGTCATGTGACCATGCAGCAGGTGTCTGACGCCCTGTTTTCGCCGGCTGACACGATATATTTGTGGCTGGTAGTAAATAAGATCAGTGTGTACACGCTGGCCTCATTTCAGAAGACAAACCAGATCACTTGAGCAGACAGGAAGTGGTTTTAGGGTTAGACTCGGAGCCCGGTTCCTGCGCTCACAGACTCAGCATGGTTCTGCTCGCAGATGGTTGTAGAAGATAAAGTTTTCTTTAAATACAACAGTGTGGTCTCAGTTATTTTATCACATCAGGGACCGCAGGAGGATTTCTGCTATTCTTGGTGTGAATTCACATCTATCTGAAAGTCTTTTTATGTCTGAGGCACAACAAACTAAATCTAATCAGAATAAACTTTAAGTTGAACCTTCTGGGCTCAGTTTCTACCATCACAGTTCTGCCTCTTTGGGTGTTAGATGGTTGGTTCTGGAACATTTTAGAGGAGGTCATGGTGCACCTGGGGAATCAAAAACAACCACACATCATCACCCTTCCACCACTGTGCTCTACTGCTGTTTTATGCTGATCTGCTGTTTTGCTCCAAACATGTTTCTGTCCATCATGGTCGATCTTCTTTACTTCGTCTGGAGGACTTTGTCGCAGAAGTCTCGTTCTTCATACATACCTGTTTTGTTTTAGAGGAAACTTTTAACCTTTTCAAACCACCTGACTGCTTCAGGGTCATGACCTTTAACCTGTTAAAGAAGGATCTGGTCTGCAAAGAATGATCAATGGGTCATTATCTATACCTAAAATCAATACATTTGCAGTGATTTCATGAATTTACTCTGGAAAAACAATCTAGAAAATAAGTTAAAATTTCCTAAATTAAGTGTATTTACCCTTAATTTGATTTGGTAAGTTAGATAGTTTGCCAATAGGATGAGTATTTCTACTCTTAAAATAAGATTATTAGATAATATACACTTAAATAAGACAATGCAATTGTGTTTTCTTATTAAAATTATTTTAAGAAAATTTTTTTTATCTAGATTTGGATTTTTTCCAGTGTAGCGTTAATCAATAAATAAAAAAGAATAATTTTCGTCCCGATCACCGATTCCGGAAGCCACTGGGATCGTCTTCATCTTCATCTTCACATATGCTGCGCTCCCAGACTGCCTGCTGTGGGACTCGTTTAGGTTCTGCACTGCAAAAACAATCTAGAAATAAGTAAAAAATTCTTAAATTAAGTGTATTCACCCTTAATTTCAGTAGGTAAGTGAGGTAGTTTGCCAATCGAATGAGTAATTTTACTCTTAAAATAAGATAATTAGATAATATGCACTTGAAATAAGACAATGCAATTGTGTTTTCTTATTTATGTGTAAATTGTCTTGTTCAATTGGCAAAATGTCTCTTTTACCTCCTCAATTCAAGAACAAATGCACTTATTTTAAGAAACAATGACTTATCTAGATTTAGATTTTTTGCAGTGTGAATCCAAATCAGTATTTATGACAGAATAATAAAGAGATTTGAACCGACAACCATCTACTCTTTGTTTTCTCTGGGTCTTCTGATCTGATCAGGTAAGGTGGGACCAATTCCCAAGGAATAATCAATGGATCATTATTTATACCTAAAACTAATACATTTGCTGTGATTTACTGATTTTAGCGTTAATCAGCAAAAAACAAAAACTAATTTTCGTTGTGATCACTGAGTCTGGGAGCGGCCATCTTTGCCCAAATATAGTAACCCCTCCCTCCTGCCATCTTCCAGCAGTGACGTCACGGCACGGTAAGCCTAGCGCCATTCTCCCCGCTTTCCAAGCTAAATCAATGGGAACTACTAGACACATCTGCAATCAACAACAATTATTGAAGATTTCCAGAGGACTTCACCATTGAAATTCACCAGAGCTATAGTGAAACTGACAATGCCCACGTGCATGGCAGCTGGATGCTGGAATACATCGGGTAAAAGTGGAAATAAAGAGTTATTCCACCTTTCTGATTCCTGATCCTCCACGGACGGGTTGGTCGTTGGATCGCCAACTTGAAGAGGGAGGATTTGCCATCGAACTTCTGGCCAGAGAAAAAACCCGTAATATGTAGCCAACATTTGGAAGAAGAATGTTTTCAAGATGACTTGGATAATAGCGCGTTGTGACAAACACCAGATACAGCACTGGGACTTGATCAACAGCCGATACCGCACCGTGACGTCACTAACCAGTAGGTGGCAGTAGTGTTCTTTGACAAACATGGATGCCTCCAGTAAAGCACATTCACATGAAAATTACTCTGAATTAAAAACACTGATCATTTATTGAACAGGATGGAATCATTCAGTGTATTCTCATTATCAGTTATGCACCATAATTTCGTACGTTTTGGATGTTTTTTTCGTCGTATTTCGTCGTATTTTTACGTCTTGCCTCGAGACAAGATATCCTTGAGCATGCACATCTTACGCACCATTCAATAACATAGAATTTAACATACAATTAACCCTAACCCTAAGATACAAAACAGCAAGCAACCTAGTGCGCATGTGCACTGATCTGTTTTTTCGAGGAAAAACGTCCAAAACGTACGAAATACTGTGCATAACTTTTCGTAGGATTTCATACGAACTGATAATGAGAATATGTTGAATAGTTTCACATTTAAAGAACTTTCAGAAGTTTAGATTCTGAATGTAAGCAGATTTTTCCTTTAATTGAAGCCTGGTGATAGTTGGAGTTTTTTGTGGTTTCTGATCCTTCCTCTGTTCTTCCTGCTCTGAATCTGCCGGGACGTCCCATCCTGGACGGGATGCTGTCCTCCATGTTCAGATGTTTGACCTGATGACGTTTCCCAGGGCGATGGGCAGAACCAGCAGCTGATGTCTCTCTGACTTGGCCTTGTCTTTTCAAACACCTGCTGCAGTCATTAAAGAAGGACCCAGCTTCTGGTGTAACGTGTGTTTTGTGAAAGGAGGAAGTTAAATTACAGATACGTGAACAGACAGCAGAAAGCTTTGGTAGCCGTGTTAAATTTATCCGCAGAAAGCTGTAATGTTTGAGCTTCGCTTCCTCAGTGTTTCTGGTTTCAGCCAAACAAGAGCTGCACAACCAGAAGCAGCTTCTGGTTTCTACCTGCAGCAAACAGAACTTCCCCTGATGATCCACCAGCTGCTGATGATCAGAGCTGCAGCAGCCTGTCGCCTGACTCTGACTGATGCTGCTTTAAAACATCTCAGAAACAAAAGCTATAATCTGCCGTCCGATTTGTCTTCTTTCTGCTTATCGAGATGTTTTCAGATCCACAAACATCCTGTGAGCAAAAAAAAAAACCTCAGTGAACCCAACAACACCTCCCTGCTTCCTCTGCAGGGCGGCCACTCCTCCCCCTCCACCTCCTCCTCCTCTGAAAACAGCAGCTCTCAGCTGTTGCAGCAGCTTAGTTGTGAGCGAGCAGAGAACAGGTGAGTTTGTCTGCAGCTGGATGGAGATCTGCTGAGAAGATGCTGCCAGGCTGGAGGGCCACCGTGCTGCTGCTGCTGCTGCTGCAGGCCTGTGGGAGTCAAGCTCAGAGTGGAGACGGAGACTCAGACATAGGTGAGGGCGCCTGAACCGCAGCTGGGCTGAATCCTTTTTATCTAAACTACTGAGAAATCAAACAATAATGCTGCTGATCTGATATAATTAGAAGGACCTGATGAGTTTAGATCCTCCTGTGGAGAAAAGTAACACAGCAGCAGCTTCAGGCTGCTGATGAAATGATGTTCAAAGGGGTTTTTGTTGAGATTTTATCGGGTGTCACCTCGAGTCGCGCTCTTGGGGGTGTGAAAGGTCCTGCTTCAGTCAGGAGCTTTGTTCCTGTAGAGATGATATCACCGTTTCCTCTCAGCGACGTGTTGTTCTGTGCTGATGCCCAACATTTCTGCTTCAAACCTGAGTCAGAACGTCCATCCAGAGAGCGGTGGCCGACATGAGCAGAGCTGCCAGCTGCAGGACCAAACCTTCAGGGATTTAGACGCTTTGGTTCCAGACGCGTTTCTGAATCCTTCAGTTCAGACATAAAGGCTGTGCTGCAGAGTCGAGCCGTCAGAAAGAAAACAGCGTAGGAGGAATCAACACATCAGACCACAACCAATGAGCCGCGGCGCTGCAGCCACAGGGGGCATCGACCCATAAAACCAGAACTTTCATATTACAGCCCAACACAGACTAAACTCTCCTTTTAGGCTGCAGCTTGATAAAAGGATCAGAACTGGATTTTTATTTCATTTGAATTAAATTTCAACAATTTAGATGAAGAAAGAAATGAATTCTGCTCCCCGGTCGCTGCATAATGGCAGCCCACTGCTCCCCACACTGGAAAAATTTAAATCTTACTAAGTCATTGTTTCTTAAAATAAGTGCATTTTTTCTTGGATTGAGGAGGTAAAAGAGACATTTTGCCAATGGAACAAGAAAAATTACATTAAAAATAAGAAAACACAATTGCATGGTGTTATATAAAGTGCATATTACCTAATTATCTTTTTTTAAGAGTAAAATTACTCATTTACCTACTCAAATTAAGGGTGAATACACTTAATTTAAGAATTTTTTTACTTATTTCTAGATCGTTTTTGCAGTGTAATACTACTACAATGCAAAGGCATGTCTTAAAATCAGTAAATAATACCTTAAAACAAGTATTTTGCCTTTATTTTCAGCAGATAAAGGAGTAAAAATAGTCATTCTATTGGCAAACTATCCTATCTCATTTATCTACTCAAATTAAGGGTAAATACATTTAATTTAAGAAAATTTTACTTGTTTTTTAGATTGTTTTTCCAGTGCAAGGGGATGGGTTAAAAGCAGAGTTCATTTAGTTCACTGGAAAAACAATCTAGAAATAAGTAAAAATTTCTTAAATTAAGTGTTTTTACCTTTGATTTGAGTAGGTAAATGAGGTAGTTTGCCAACGGAATTAGTATTTTTACTCTTAAAATAAGATAATTAGATATTATGTACTTGAAATAAGACAAACCAATTTTGTTTTCTTATTATAAGTCTAAATTATCTCGGTCCATTGGCAAAATGTCTCTTTTACCCGTTCGATCATCCAAGAACAAATGCACTTATTTTAAGAAAAAATGACTTATCTAGATGTCGATTTTTTCTAGTGTTGCTCTGTACTTGTGACAATAACCAGTGGCGGATCTAGACCAAATGTACCAGGGGGGCCAGTAGGGGCCAGCGTGTTTTCATGGGGGCACAGAAAAGAATGAAAAAAAACAAAAAACAGGCCAAGGGATTCAAATAAATTAAGATAGCTGCATGGAATAAAATTTCTTTTCAGTTAGGTTTCATTAAAATTCTAAATGTCTTAATAGGTCAATATATATTCAGAATTTAGGAATTTTACTTTTTTTTTTTTACTTAATTTAAGTTGAAATTACAGTTTTCTATAAAATTTGAATTAGAATTTAAGAAAAACTGTTAAAATTAGCTGTAAAAAGTAGAACATTTTTTTTTTTTTTACATTTGTTTTGGAAAAAAAAAAACATTTAGCAGATAAAAAAAAACTGGAATCCTACCTCAATACCACTTATGCTATGTTTTAAACAGTTAATAAAACAGAATTTGTAAAGCCCATATCAGCCCATATCGTCATTAGAATTTCTTTGAGTATTATGTCTTCAGTACAGGGGCCATAACAGGGGCCAGGACTTGATCTACAGGGGCACTGGCCCCCATTGGCCCCTGTCTAGAACCGCCCATGACAATAACTGACAATAAAGGTAGGAAGAGGCTGCAAACTTGGTGCCGCCGGATCAAGCTAATGTTAGAAGGATGATGAACAGGTTGGATCCTTCAGAGGCTGAATGTTTGATCAGAAGCAGAGAGAAATGATGCGGCAATAATATTAACTAATACACTGCAAAAAATCTAAATCTAGATAAGTTATTGTTTCTTAAAATAAGTGCATTTGTTCTTGAATTGAGCAGGTAAAAGAGACATATTGCCAATGGAACAAGACAATTTACACTTAAAATAAGAAAACACAATTGCATTGTCTTATTTCAAGTGCATATTATCTAATTATCTTATTTTAAGAGTAAAATTACTCATTTACCTACTCAAATTAAGGGTAAATACACTTAATTTTATAATGTTTTACTTATTTCTAGATCGTTTTTTCAAGTGTAATACTACTACAATGCAAAGGCATGTCTTAAAATCAGTAAATAATGCCTTAAAACAAGCATTTTTACTTTATTTTCAGCAGATAAATGAGATGTGATGATTATTTAAGTTTTTAAAATAAGATAAATACATTTCAGTGTTTGATAATGAAGTTTTATTTTGCCTTTTTTAAATGTAAATAATCTTGTTTTAATAATAAATCGTCTTACTTAAGTTCTCAAATCAAGTGGAAATACACAAAAAACGTACTTACTCGTACTTACTTAGTAATATTTGCTTTTACACTAGAAAAACGATCTAGCAATAAGGAAAAATTCCTTAAATTAAGTGTATTAATCCTTAATTTCAGTAGGTAAATGAGATGGCTTGCCAATGGAATTAGTATTTTTACTCTTAAAGTAAGTTAATTAGATAATATGCACTTGAAATAAGACGATGCAATTGTGTTTTCTTATTTTAAGTGTAAATAGTCTTGTTAAATTTGCAAAATGTCTCTTTTACCTCCTCAATCCAAGAACAAATGCACTTATTTTAAGAAAAAAAATGACTTTTTTCCAGTGTAATCAGTGTGTACACTGCAAAAACGTTCTGAAAATTAGTAAAAATGTCTTTAAACAAGTGTATTTACCCTTAAATTTGAGTAGGAAAATAAGATGATCTGCCAATGGAATGAACATTTTTACCCTTAAAAAAAGATAAATTAGATATTTTGCGCTTGAAGTAAGAGACTATAGTCTTTTTTTTCTTATTTTAAATATAAATTGTCTAATTCCATTGGCCAAGAGTCTTACTTACCTGCCTAATTCAAGAAGAAATGCACTTGTTTTATGAAAAATTGACTTACTTAGATTTACATTTTTTGCAGTGTAGTATTAATAATAATAATTATTATTATCAATAATATAATTCAAACTCTAGAAGGTTACAAAATGTTGTAAAAAATTCTGCTTTCAATTAATCTAGAACATGATGATCTGAGAAGCTGAAGCCACAGGAAGTTGCTGGGTTGCTTATAAACACCCACAGGTTTAAATATCTGAGGGCAAAGATGAGTAAAATGTGGATCAAAGAGCTAATCTGTGAAAATGAAATCTAAACGTATAATTTATGAATCGGGACTTTATTTGATCCCAGATCTGCTGCATCTGTTCTTCAACGTGATCAAACCTGTTTTCTCACAGAACTTCAGCTCAGCTGCGTCTCCCACATCAGCATCACAAACAACAGTCTGACCTGCCAGCTACTGAGGCGCAGCAGCGATGAGGAAGACGAGGAACCGGAGGCAGAAAGCATCCATAAGATGAGCGTATGGTAAACATCTCAGCTCCAGGTGAACACCTACCTGCAGCTTCTGGCTTCAGCTGTTGACAAACTTCTCTCCTCTGTTCAGCCTAGAAGTTTATGGGTATGGCAAAAAGTGGCGTTGCTTCCATGCTAAAGGAGACACGGTGACATCACAACAACTGCTTCCCACTTCGTCTGTGAACGTGACCGTGAAGAGGAAGGGAGGGGGCACGGTTTCAGCCATAGTCAAACTGCGGGATATAGGTAAATATAACCCAGAGGCCCCCATGGTGGCAGGTGATGGAGCTCATGCTGCCTCACAGACTTTAGGCTCTTTTTTGGACTTTCTGTCTCAGACCAACACATTGGAATCTATAAAAACCCCTTCACTCCGATACCTTTAAATATAATACAAAACGCTCTGTTGGCCCTGAATGCAGCATCTCCACCAGGTCAGCCATGGTGGTGGCAGAATCATGCTGTGGGACAGAGAAGCAGGTCAGAAGAGATAAAATAATTAAATAGAGCAGAGTTTTGTGGCTCAGGGGCTCCTAAAAGCTTTGGCAGAAATTCTTTATTTAGTCCGGAGGTTGGAAATTGAAATTAATTTCTCAGACATCAAGATCTTGTAGAGGAAAATCTATCATTCAGTTCTCTGTATTTTTTTATGTATTTCAAAATGTAAAAAAAAAAAAAATCAAAAACCTTTTGGCAAAGAATTCTAAGGCATCCTATGAGACAAAGATAGGTAGCATAATCTGCTCTAAAGGAGTTTTATTTAGCCGTTCTAAAAGCAGAAAAAGCTCTTTGAACCTGAAGACCTAAGGACCGACCTCCAACACAACTTTATTTATAAAGCACTTTAAAAACAACACCATTGACCAAAGGGCTGTACGCCGACAATAATGGTAAAAATAAAATAAAGTCATTCTTAAAGAAGGATATTTAAAAACAGTGAATGAGTCACAGCCTGTCTGATTTACAGCGACTGAAAACTTTCGCTCGCTTTGCAACTTCCTCCTTGGTTTCAGAAAAACCAGCAATAACTGATCTGCTGACATGTGGGAGCGTCAGGGAGCAGACATTAACATCAGGTTGGACAGACGCTGAGGGAAAGACCATGTAAACACTTTAAAACGAATAAAAGAACTTTAAAATCAATTTAGAAATCTACTAGAAAGCAATACGGAGATAGAGAAGTGATACGTTCCATTGTGTTAGTTCATCCTTTATAGGCTACTCAGTGCCAATAGTGTTATTGGAATCCAGGAGAAGACCTTTTTAGCAATTAAAAAAAATATGGATATTATGATGGCAAAAATGAATTTCAATGTAATAACAAGAACTTGCCCAAATATATTAAGAAAAATAACAAAAGTGCTTCTATAAGAAATTCATGAAAAACACTCCGAGAGTGAAAGAAACACATTTTTTTAGGTACAACATAAACCCAGAGGCATTAATGCTGATACTGGCACTTACTTTTTTATTTTATAAACCTAAATATAATTTTTAAGTAGGCTTATTAACTTTTGAACTTTATTTTTTAACTTTTCAATTAACTTTTTTTTTTCTTGACTTGTTAACTTTCTTTTTCAACTTAAAACTTAATTTACAGAAGGTTATATGTAATTTAAGGGCTGTATCTTCTAGACATCATTGATTGCCCGGGGGGGGATTATCTATTAATCTATTAATCAGCTATTAATCGCCTGGTCCAATAAATAAACACTGATTTTGCCAAAAAAAAACGGGAAAAACTTCAACCAACTCCGTGCTTTCATTTCAGAAAGCAAGTGCTAGAATCATGCTTTCCTGTTTCAGTTGAAAATAAATCTGACTATCATTGGCATAGAAATGAAAGTCATCACCATATTACAAAGAAATGTGTCTAGAGGAAGTGAAGAGAGAGAAAAGAGAAAGGGGCGAGTATGGGGCCTTGAGGTACGCCACATGAAAGAGGCGCTACTAATGACAGGAACCGCTCCAGAGCAACAGAACAGATGCCCACCAAGCTCTCCAGGCGAGTCGAGTTGGCAGCAGTTAGATCCAACATTAAAATACCACAGTGAGCAGAAGTTTAAAGAAGGTCATTAAAAACCCTCAGCAGTGCCGACTCCATAGCGTGACGGGTTTTGAAACCAGATTGTTAGGTTTCGTGAAAGTTGTGTTTGTTCAAGTATAAAATAACAATTTTCTCTCAGAGTTTTGACCAAAAAGAAAGTTTTAATATGTTTGAAATATCAGGTCGGGCTTTTTAATTACTAGTGTCACCACTGGAAATATCAGCGTTGATCAAACTATAATTTACGATGCAGGAGATCAACCCAATAAGACCTGTTTCTCAAGTCAACCTTACTTTCCTGGAGATGTTTCATAAACAAGATGTTCTAATCTGTAGATGTTCAAATCCCAGTAGACCTGCAGACAGAGAAAGTTCTAGAAAGTTCTCATATTTTAATTGATAGGAGAGCTTAAACCCATGGATCTCTTATCTATCACTCCAGGTTTGCTAAAGTTTAGAGTTAGCCGGTCACATACAGTAGTAGTTCCTTCATGGCTCTCTGGCTGATCCTTGGCTAGTCCCCTACAATTCCCTTTTAAACATCTAAAATATTCTTTCTGTCATGATTTGTGGACATTAAGATCCAAAGAGAAGCATCATCTCCTGGTCAGACCCTGTAAATCAGTGAAAGGAGGGAGTCACAGTTAAAAACTATGCCCAGGAAAAGGCCGGTGGCTGGAAGTTGGAGGGGATTTGTTGCCATTCAGCTGGCTTTTAACTGGGAAGGGCCATTTTGAATTGCTGCTACTATAAAGTTAATTAAAATTGTTGGACCTGAACTAGAGGTGGGGAAGATAGATAAACTATCTGGATGTTGTTTTTGTTTGTTTTAGTGAAGCCACTCAGTCCGAAGGTTTGGAATGTGACCCTTGAGCCGCAGCTCCGCCGGGCCGTGGTTTTCATGCAGATCCCCTACAGCAATGACTACCTGACTTTGGAAAACCAGCTCTTCCAGTTCAACCTGTGGACTAAAGGCAGCAACATTGTACTGTCGCACAATTTTCACTTCAATCAGAACAATGTTGAAAAGTTTGAAGATGTTTGTAGATGACTGAACTCCAGAGGATTCTTTTCTGCAGACCCAAAACATCTCGTCCCAGAACTTCCTGCCTATTGACATGCAGCACCTCCGCCAGAACTCTGAGTATGAGGTGAGAGTGCGAGCGATCCCTAATAGGGGGTGGAAGGGAACCTGGAGCGAATGGAGCGAGGTGTACACCTTCGAGATCCCTGGTGAGATAACTGGTCCAAACGTCCAGCAGATGTTTTGATCAAAGTCTGAAGGGGAACTGATGATGATCTTCTGTCCTTTAGGAGAACCGCAGTGGCAGACGACCGTGAACATACTGGTAGTGAGCTTCAGCTCCGTGGTGCTGCTGTCCTTGATCATCATCTTCTGGAGGAACAAGTATGGCATCATGGTTCTCTGTCTCATATGTTATGGATCAATTTTCTTACTAATTTTCTTTGTTTCCTCCTAAGAATCTTCACCTACATGTGGCCAAGCGTCCCGCACCCCAAACAGACTCTGATTCAGATCTGCAAACCCAACAAAGTGAGTTCTTGGAACCATCAGGTCCTCCACAAGGAAGAGAACTATGGAACACCTAACCATGTCCTGATGTTTCACCAGGGCCTGCTGCTGAACCTGAACCCTGAGGTCTTCAGTTCCCTGAAGGTCTACCCGCAGGAGGAGGCCCCTTCTGAGGAGGCAGAGCCGTCGCTTGGTCCCGCTGCTGCTGGTGGGTCCCCGTCCAGCTCAGCCCAGAGCTCCGACTGCAGGAGCACCACCAGCATCAGCACCGAGGAGCTGGAGATCTCAGCCCTCCTCAGCAGGAGCTCCTCGGATGGCGAGGACAGCCTCCCGAGGGACAGCACGTCCCCCGTCAACGTCCCGCAGCAAGAAGACCAGGCTGGGAACCTTCAGCCTGACGGACTGAAGCAGCCGGAGGAGGCCTACGTCACCATGTCCAGCTTCTATCAGATCAAGTAGGAGAAGAACCGCTGGAGCAACTGAACTGATCAAACTTGTGGGAGCTGTTCCAACTGAAACATCTGAGCAGCTGGTAGAAGGAAGTTCTTCTGACCTTCCTCCAAACACCACCAGCTGTAACTTAATGATGGCTGTTCCCTGAACCTCGCAGAATATCTAACCTTCACCCCCCCCCCCCCCCTATGTTTGAGCTTTAATCCGCCAGCCTAGATCTTCCACAGTGGTTTTCATGTTTGGAAGCATTAAGAAAACCAGTTCTTGGTCCATGGATTTAAGGAACGTGAGAAGATCAGAGAGAGAAATGTCCAGACGTTCATTAACCCAGGAGCTTCCAACAGGCCTGTTCATTTATCTGGATCTGATGATTTGCTCCTCAGTGTCTGACATTCTTCATAATGTCTGATGTTCTTTATCATTTCTGACGTTCTTCATAATGTCTGACGTTCTTCATAATGTCTGACGTTCTTCATAATGTCTGACATTCTTCATAATGTCTGACGTTCTTCATAATGTCTGACGTTCTTCATAATGTCTGACGTTCTTCATAATGTCTGACGTTCTTCATAATGTCTGACGTTCTTCATAATGTTTGACATTCTTCATAATGTCTAATGTTCTTCATAATGTCTGACGTTCTTCATAATGTCTGACATTCTTCATAATGTCTGACATTCTTCATAATGTCTGATGTTCTTTATCATTTCTGACGTTCTTCATAATGTCTGACGTTCTTCATAATGTCTGACGTTCTTCATAATGTCTGACGTTCTTCATAATGTCTGACATTCTTCATAATGTCTGACGTTCTTCATAATGTGTGACGTTCTTCATAATGTCTGACGTTCTTCATAATGTCTGACGTTCTTCATAATGTCTGACGTTCTTCATAATGTTTGACATTCTTCATAATGTCTGACGTTCTTCATAATGTCTGACATTCTTCATAATGTCTGACGTTCTTCATAATGTCTAATGTTCTTTATAATGTCTGACGTTCTTCATAATGTCTAATGTTCTTTATAATGTCTGACGTTCTTCATAATGTCTGATGGTCTTCATAATGTCTGACGTTCTTCATAATTTCTAAAGTTCTTCATCATTTCTGACGTTCTTCATAATGTCTGACATTCTTCATAATGTCTGACGTTCTTCATAATGTCTGACGTTCTTCATAATGTCTGACGTTCTTCATAATGTCTGACGTTCTTCATAATGTTTGACATTCTTCATAATGTCTAATGTTCTTCATAATGTCTGACGTTCTTCATAATGTCTGACATTCTTCATAATGTCTGACGTTCTTCATAATGTCTAATGTTCTTTTTAATGTCTGACGTTCTTCATAATGTCTGATGGTCTTCATAATGTCTGATGGTCTTCATAATTTCTAATGTTCTTCATAATGTCTAATGTTCTTCATAATGTCTGACGTTCTTCATAATGTCTGACATTCTTCATAATGTCTGACGTTCTTCATAATGTCTAATGTTCTTTTTAATGTCTGACGTTCTTCATAATGTCTGATGGTCTTCATAATGTCTGATGGTCTTCATAATTTCTAAAGTTCTTCATAATGTCTGACGTTCTTCATAATGTCTAATGTTCTTTTTAATGTCTGATGGTCTTCATAATGTCTGATGGTCTTCATAATGTCTGACGTTCTTCATAATTTCTAAAGTTCTTCATAATGTCTGATGGTCTTCATAATGTCTGACGTTCTTCATAATTTCTAAAGTTCTTCATCATTTCTGACGTTCTTCATAATGTCTGACGTTCTTCATAATGTCTGACGTTCTTCATAATGTCTGACGTTCTTCATAATGTCTGACGTTCTTCATAATGTCTGACGTTCTTCATAATGTTTGACATTCTTCATAATGTCTAATGTTCTTCATAATGTCTGACGTTCTTCATAATGTCTGACATTCTTCATAATGTCTGACATTCTTCATAATGTCTGATGTTCTTTATCATTTCTGACGTTCTTCATAATGTCTGACGTTCTTCATAATGTCTGACGTTCTTCATAATGTCTGACGTTCTTCATAATGTCTGACATTCTTCATAATGTCTGACGTTCTTCATAATGTGTGACGTTCTTCATAATGTCTGACGTTCTTCATAATGTCTGACGTTCTTCATAATGTCTGACGTTCTTCATAATGTTTGACATTCTTCATAATGTCTGACGTTCTTCATAATGTCTGACATTCTTCATAATGTCTGACGTTCTTCATAATGTCTAATGTTCTTTATAATGTCTGACGTTCTTCATAATGTCTAATGTTCTTTATAATGTCTGACGTTCTTCATAATGTCTGATGGTCTTCATAATGTCTGACGTTCTTCATAATTTCTAAAGTTCTTCATCATTTCTGACGTTCTTCATAATGTCTGACATTCTTCATAATGTCTGACGTTCTTCATAATGTCTGACGTTCTTCATAATGTCTGACGTTCTTCATAATGTCTGACGTTCTTCATAATGTTTGACATTCTTCATAATGTCTAATGTTCTTCATAATGTCTGACGTTCTTCATAATGTCTGACATTCTTCATAATGTCTGACGTTCTTCATAATGTCTAATGTTCTTTTTAATGTCTGACGTTCTTCATAATGTCTGATGGTCTTCATAATGTCTGACGTTCTTCATAATGTCTGACATTCTTCATAATGTCTGATGGTCTTCATAATGTCTGACGTTCTTCATAATTTCTAAAGTTCTTCATCATTTCTGACGTTCTTCATAATGTCTGACGTTCTTCATAATGTCTGACGTTCTTCATAATGTCTGACGTTCTTCATAATGTCTGACGTTCTTCATAATGTCTAATGTTCTTCATGTCTGATGTTCTTCATCATTTCTGACGTTCTTCATAATGTCTAATGTTCTTTATAATGTCTGACGTTCTTCATAATGTCTGACGTTCTTCATAATGTCTGACGTTCTTCATAATGTCTGACGTTCTTCATAATGTCTAATGTTCTTCATGTCTGATGTTCTTCATCATTTCTGACATTCTTCATAATGTCTAATGTTCTTTATAATGTCTAATGTTCTTTATGTCTGATGTTCTTCATCATTTCTGACGTTCTTCATCATTTCTGACGTTCTTCATAATGTCTAATGTTCTTCATGTCTGATGTTCCTCTCACGATATTCTGCTGAACTTCCCCCCCGAGCTGCTCTCTGACTGGACCCCTTTGGTCCGTTCAAACTGGAGAACCATGTAGCGTTCCCAAACCCATGAACCTGAGAACAACCATCCTTCCTTCTTGGTTATTTTTTTTTTTTCACACTAACAGGATTCTGCAGATCAAAGAAAAGGTCACATGTTTGAAACTGGCCAATCAGAGCTGAGCATTTCCTCAGACTCCTTCTGGACCTTCTGTCAATACATTAATTGATTTTCTTTTTATTTGATCTGAACCTGAATGGGTCGGATTAGTTCTGGCTGCTGACCCGGACCTACTGACATGTTAAATATGTGTTTTTATATCTACACCTTCTTTGAGGACCCTCTTACTGACATGGAGTAGAACCCCTCCTGATGGTTCTGGACGTTGAACATCTAGGAGGATGTAGAAGGTTCTGCTTTTCTTTGGACTCTCCATGATGCTGATTCCAGACAGGAAGGTTCTGCTGAACTTTCTGGGTTCAAACCTGGTGAACATGGATGCTGAAGAACCTCAGTGACATTAAAGAACCAAAGACAGAACCAGAAGGTTCCTTTTATGTCATTGGAACCAGAAAGATATTTGAAAGTCTCCTTTAGTTCTGGAGAACTTTCATGAAGTTCTGTACACACAGAAACGGACCCTAAAAACATTCAGAGGAACCTTTGAAAAGAACGTCAAAGGTTCCTCTGAAGTCAGTAAAATGTTAAAAATAAAAAGTTCATCCAGAGAAAACGACCCAAGAATCACCGGGTTCTGATATGTTCTGCTATCTAAACAACAGCCTCAGAACCCAAACATCAGGTCCGATCACCAGAATCAGTCAGCAGGAACACAGAAGGAACCATGTTTCCTTCTCACTACAACTTCTAGACTTTATCTGTCTAGAACCTCCAACCAAACCAGAGGAACCAGAAGTTTAGAACCTCCTAACTGACCCGTCAAATCAGTGTCCAATGATCCCATCAGGCAGTGGGGGAACTGAGACCAGAAAGTCCAAATGGATCTCTGAAAATAAACTTTCTAGAACATTTATCTAAGGAACCAGGACCAGAGAAAGTCCTGATCCTACCAGAATCTTCTTGTAGAAGTCTATGGAGAACTCTGCAAATAGGACTTTCTGGGTTTAGCTGACCAGAAGATCCGGTTCCGTTCATCTCCAGGAGTCCAGAATGAAACTGGTTCCATCCTGCTGTTGGTCGGTAAAGTTCACCAAATCTGTAAATGTTGCTGTTTCCATGGAAACCAGCATGTTGGTTTAAACCTTGGCCCTTTTTCTTCCTCCTGAACCTTCTGGGTCTGTCTTCATGTCAGATCTCCTCTTGGTTTTTCTTCTGGTTCCGGTTCTGGAACCAGAAGATGTTCTTTAAAAGCTGCTCTGATCCGAACCCGTCTGCACTTGGACTCTCAGAACCGAACCTCCTGCTGCTGCAGAGTCTCGTTTGTCCTGCAGCGCTGAAACGCCTCACATCTGAATGCGCTGAGTAACCTGCTGGGGGACTTTCTGTTGCTATGGTTACCTGTTCTGATTGTGGTCGGATTGCCGTCATGGAAACTCAAAACACACAATGCTGCTGCTGTAAAATCGGACCCGACCAAAACCTCAGGATCAACCAGACTAGAATGTACGCTTGAGCTGCGGCTGCTTGGTTCTGCTCCGTTTGTATAAAGTTCTATTAAAGTTCTGTACATCCTGTTCAAACCTTTATTTAACCATTTTACCTGTTTATGCACAATAAAGTTAATCTATCAACTGAAGGTCTCGTGGTTTCTATAGAAATCAGCAGCTAGAAGTTCCAGCAGAGCTTCAGATCCAGAGGATAGCCTCTGATCATCAGGTGGTTCTGAGCTGGTTCCGGTCCGCTGGCATCAAGGTCGCTGTCAGAGCTTCCAGGCGTTCCTCATCATCAGGATGAAGTAGGCGTCGCTGTCGATGGAGGCGCTGACGCCACTGTAGTAGTTGACAAACTCCTCCTTGGTCACCTGTTGGTTCAGGAAATGACATCTTACAGTGGGCCATCAGAACCAGAACCAGGTTCTATCAGATGTTCTCAGAGCTAGAACTGGACCATCTGAGGAGAGATTGTCCTCCCTGGTCTGAGGACCCGTCCATGCGGTACTGCTCATGGTGACTCAGATCTTACTGGCATACTAACGTAGGTTCTGGTTTCTAAAATCTACCATCAATATCGGACCTGTTGCTGAAACGGCATCTGGTTATAATTTTTGATCTGAGTCAACGTGACTGATGACAGGAAACACAGGAGACAATTAATATCTGAGAGGTTTCTGTCTTCTGCTGTGTAGAAATAAACCAACAAACTAAATTAAAATCTAAAACTGAATCAATGATTTTTATTGATTTGTTTTTGGTCACAGATTTATTCCTGATTTTCTGTCTGTCCTGTTTTACATGCCGACCTTCAGACTGGATTTTATCCTTTAAATAAAACCTGCAAAACAAACAAGAAACCTTCAACATGCGAGCTTCTATCAGCTGCAGTTTATTAAAGAAGCATAGAGATTTTCCGTCTAGATTGGGTCACTTCTGGAAAACAACATCAGGCTTAAACCCTTCAAAAGGTTCCTGTTTTTTCCTCATTCTGGCCTTTTTTTATTTCCTGCTCAGTAACATTAACTCTTACAACCCAATTCCACCAGAAATACCTAAAACTATTCACACCCCAAGCAGATCTAAAACGATTTTCATTCAACCAATCAAATATTTCCCCTTTTTCCTGAAACAAATCTCACTATAAACATAGAGCAGCATTTATGTTTTTATTGCAGATATTAAAAATGTCCTGCAAGCTTCTCAGTAACCAATGAAATCCTAACCCTTCCCACTTCACTGAGCTCTCAGCCAATCAGAGCTGCTGTCTGATGACAGAGCAGCTCCTGGAGATCTCCTCAGATACTTGAATTATCTTTGTTTGGGGAGGAACTCCTCGCCATCACCCTAATCTGGAGCTTCTCCATGGATTCTCTCCTAGATTCGTTTCTGGACTCTGATTGGTTCTTTTCAGCACATTAGTCCCTCCAGAGGAAGATGACCTTATATGGAGTGAATTTTGTTACATTATTGTTCCAAGCAAAGAAACGGTTTAATGTAAATAAAAAAAATGAAAATATTGAAAACATTTTGTTAACTAAAATACAGGAAACTGCAATCCAGAAATTAAACTATAATTAAATATTAAATCAATAAAAGGTTTAGCGATTAACTGTGTTGTTTCCTTGGATTTTGTTTATTTTAATTTTCTTTTTGAAATGCCTTTTTTCATAATTTATCATTTTTAATTTTATTTTCTCAAAATTCGATTAACAGATTTTATATTTGGAGTTTTTAAAGAGGTTCAATTTCATAAACTGCATTCTTTTCGAATTGCGTTTTCCAGATGACGGTTTTTTCATTTCTGGGGGCGGGCTTTTGTCTGGAGTACGGAGTGAAGATGCATTTCTATTGGTCCGCTGGACGTTAGCGACATTTTTATTGGTCAAGAGAAAGCTTTAGGATTGAATTTAAAGTGAAGAGAATGAAATCTGAAAAACATAATTTTGAAAAAACAATCTAAATAAATAGATACTTTAAAAAACAACAAATAATAAATCTGAAGAAAAAATTGGATTAAAAAAATTTATTTTAAAATATTTTTGTTGAAAATATGGGATTTTTAAGAATAAATACATTTAAAATATATAAAAGAACTATATTTGAAACAAAAAAATCTCAGAAAACAGCAAAGCCTCTCACAAAACCTATTTTAATTTAAATCTTTTTCAAAGTTTAATTTCTTGATAGAATTTTTTTCCAATTCTAATTTACAAAGTCTGTTTTTGCTCGATAAAAATAATGGAACCAAATTGAGGCACCAGCTGAGTTGTGGAGTCGACGGCTCTTTGACGTGAGGATGATTGCAGGAAGTGACTGAGAACCTGATGATGAAAGCAGCTGCAGAGGTGAGAAGACAGAATGAATCGATCCAGGCGGCGTCAAGTCGTTTATTAGAACTGAAACAGAACCTTCAACAGTTTCTAACTCAGTTAGTTTAGTGATTCAGAACTAAACTAGCTGTCTGTGGTTCTGGTCCGGTGGTTCCTAATGTAGACGCTGGTGTCGATGGAGGAGAAATAATTGAGACAGAAACATGGTAGAACTTTCTCACCCGGAAACTTTGAAGCTTAAATAGATCTAAGTTAAACAGACCCATTTAAAGACGATCAGAACCAGCAGAACATCTCGGATCCAAAGAGGACGTCTCGTACCTTTCCATCTTTGTCGTAGGGTGAATCAAAGCTGTCCAGGAACGTCCTGAACACCTGCTCCTCCGTCCACTCCCCGTTCTGATATTTGGGGTGGTACTTGGCGTTGTAAACCCCCCTCAGGTCGTCCACGGTGACCACGCCGTCTCCGGTTCTGTCCAGCTTCCGGAACGCCTGCATGACCACCTCCTTCCTGGCTTTGGACATTGGCGGCTGTGGAAAACAGAGGGAGGAGCCTTTGGGAGTGGCGGTCTAGTAGCCTCGTGAGACCATCCTGATCTCGCCAGCTTCAAGGTTTCACTCGCAGATCAGTCTGGAGACTCTCCGTTAAAGAAAGTTTGGAGCCGTTCACCAAACGAACGTCCAATCAGCGTTGGCTTTGAGGCGGGTTGAGATGTGACGCATTGAGAAGCGCGACAGTTCAGTCGAAAGAACATGGCGGCTTCAGCCGATGAAACTAGCGTTAGCGTGGCTATCGAGCAAGTTTTATCGGAATTACAGAGTATTTCTTCACTGAAAGAAGAGCAAAACACTGCTCTGGAGGCTTTTCTCAGAGGAAAAGATGTTTTTGCTCTTCTCCCCACTGGTTTCAGCAAGAGTAGCCTGGCTTGTGGTTGTGTTTTCGTCGTCGCTCTGTTAATACGTCATATGATTCGTTGATCTGATTGGTTTATTTGGCCCGTCTATCACCAACATAGGCCAATCAGCTAACCAGTATTTTCGCCCCTTCCCAAAATTACTTCAACGGAAGGTTTCCAGATGGATATGCGGAGCAAATTAGTCCCACTCCCACAGACTGCCACTCAAGATCCCTGAGCAAGAACCTTAACCTCACACTGCTCCCCAGGCGCCGCACAATGGCAGCCCACTGCTCCCCAACGGGATGGGTTGAATGCAGGGTTAACTTTCTCCAACATGAGATCAATAAAGTTCAACTATTATCAACTCAACACAGGTTTCTGTTGGACATTTTAGAACTAAACCAGGGGAACCAGTTGGTTCTGAGGTTCAGCAACAGAAACTGGGTTTTACCAAGCAGTCTGGAACATGTGGCTCAAAGGTCCAAGTTTAAAAACTAATAACAGGAGACCAATAAAACAAGAATCACATCAATTCTTTAAGTTTAGCAATATTTGTATATTTGTATTTATGGTTGGTACCAGTTTACCCTCAGAGTGATGAGGAACTCGTCAAAGTCGATGGTTCCGTTCCCGTCCCGGTCAAAGAGCTGGAACAGGGCGCTGGCCTCGTCCTTCTCGATCAGCAGACCGTAGTCGTTCAAACCCTTCAGGAACTCCTTGAAGTCCAGGAGGCGGTTCTCGTTGTCGTCCATGATTTTAAAGGTTCTGATGAAGAAAACAAGAACCGTGTTTGGACCATTTTACTCACTAGAACACTGCTCACCTCCACTGCTCATATGTGATGATCCTCCATAGATACTGGATCATTTTCTCCTGTTCAGCTGGTAGCTGATGACAGTTCAACAGAAAACTGCTTGTTCTCCAGATGGTTCTGATGGAGGAACTTCATCTGGGTTACATCAGCTTCTACCAGAACCAATCATTAACCAGACTCTCCATTATCATGCTGTTTAAGGAGAGCTGACCATCTCATAAAAGACGAGCAACCATGGACAGCGCCCCCTGCTGGAAGGAACCAGGCTCTTCCTGGTGGCCTTCAGGATGCAGAACTTTTGGGATTTGTTCACCGAAACAGTTAAATGTCCCCCTGAGTTCCAGCTAAAGGTACCAGAGTAACATTTCCTCTAAAAGCAGGAAGTAATAAAGAGCTTTTTATTTTATCTCCTCTTCTATCATGCATACGTAAAGATATGGAGGCATTATTACTGTTTGTGGTTTTACTTCTCATCTGTGATGCTGCTTTAAGCTTCATATACCGTAACTAGAACCCACAGGGTTCTGCAGTTAAATGCTGACCTGATAAGCAACAGGATCTGAGTACTATAGTACTACCTGAACTCAGTGGCTGAAAACCACAAACAGCAACAGCAAGAAAAAAACAACAACATCCTGCAGCAGCAGAGAGTCAGCAGAGCTATGAGAGACTAACCATGCAATACACGGGTACTACAGAATACACAGGTACTACAGAATACACGGGTATTATTATTACTACAGGTAGTAAAGTACTAGTATATATACTCTTGATACTACAGCTAGTAAAGTACCAGTAAATACACTCTAGGTATTACAGGGAATACTCGTCTGATCCTTTGGAGTACTTCAGGTCATCTTCAGGTAAAAGTTGTCAGTTTCCAGGTGAGTGAATGGGTCAGTGGGCGGAGCTTACCTGCCCAGACCTTTGATCCCTGATGAGCCGCGGGTCAGACACTGCAGCCGGAGTCTCTCCACCGGATCAGAACAATCAGACAGCTGCTTCTTGGCCTTCACAGCCATCTCTCTGTCGTGTCTCGATGTTCCTGCCATGGCTGACCTGAAACACACCGACCAGCTGGTTGGTTCTGACAGCAGAACTTCAGAACGACCACCTGAAGGAAAGGAGGTTCTGGAAGAGACAGAACTAATCTGAGGCTGATGGAGGGATCCGATACTAAACAACTCGATGTTATAAATTAATCATTATTAGAATTTTTCCTACAGCAGTAAAACCAGAGAAATGTAGGTGGTTCTGGTTCTGGTTCTGTTCCATCATCTTCTTCTAACCATCAATCCTAATGATTGGAGCTTCAGAAATAATTAAACATTAAATCAGAATAAATGGAGGAGTGAAAGGAACAGCTGATTCTGATGGTGGTTCTCTGAATCACAAAGAGCTTTAAAATAAATCGGATCAGACTATTTTTGTTGTTCATGAAGCAAAAATTAATGACAATTCTGACCAGGAGAAAATTTATATTTTGCAAGTACGCTGGTGAAGATTCATCCAGGTCATAGTCATACCAAAAAAGTGACTTTGTTTCTAAGTTTGAAGACGTTTTGCTAATCATCCAGGAAGCTTTTCCAGTTTATTTATTTTTTTACTTTTTTGGGATATATTTTGAAAAAAGAATCAAAGTTATAATTTCTGTTGGTATTTTTACCGATTTAACTGATTCAGACCCAAAGCTCCCATGAACCCAGTTTATCTGCTGGTTCCGGAAACATTTAGTCCTGATTGACAGCAGCTGCAGTCGCTGCTGATCTGCAATATTTAGAGAACAGCTCCACCTGCTGGTGAAAACAAGGAACTGACTGCATCTGTTCTAGTTTCCAGGAGAAATTTATTTATTTATTTTTTTTTACAAATTAATTTTAAAAATATTTAATTAAATTCATTTTCACATTAATCTGACAGCTGCAGCTATTTATACTGAATATCTAGGGACGACAGTAAATTAAGCAGATTAAAAACAACCACAACTCAGTCATTATTGTGTTCTGGTCATTTAAATGAGCATTTAATTTTCCAAACAATAAACTTTCTATGATGTTTTATTTTAATTCTTCATATTTTCATGCAGACGCTCTCATCTTTAAAGCCATCTGGATCCTAGTTTTGCAGGGATTCTTATGTTCTTTCAGGGTGAGCTTTTCCTCTCCCATATGCTGATCAGGTAAAGTTACAGGTAAAGAGAATCTTTGGACTGAATGAAAAGAACCAGAAGCTGATCCTTCATCTGCTGTAGAAAGCAGGTTATGTCTGTTGGACTCAGGAACCAGTGGATGATTTTAGGGACTGAAGTAAAATAATCTATTTAGAACCGAATCTCTTTGGTTCAACCCACATCTTTGCTCTGTGCTTTTATTTTGAAGTCCTGCTCTGAAGCCTGAAAAACAGTAAAACAGGAAGCAGCAGCCGCCGCGCGGACACAAAAACACACAAACAAAGAACGAAAACAACAAACTTGCTGCCTGAAAACAGCCTCTCAGACTTACCGGCTGTCTCGATCCAATTCTCCCAGTTTAACCAGTTTGTCTCCAGCTCCGCTCCGACGCTGCTCTGCGTCACACACCACCCGCCGTTACCATGGAGACCAGATGCTCTTTGCTCTGGTTGGATGCTCAGACAGAAAACAGGAAGCAATAAAACCCCTCCCATATTTCTAGTGGTGGATTTACTAACATTACTTTATTATTTGTTTATAAAATAAATTTATTTATTTGTGGAGGATTTTGTTTTCTGGCCAAAAACCAACAGCAAACATTTTCAATTAGAGAGCAGAACTACTTGGACTCCAAACATGTAATGCTCAGCAGGAAGAATCCTCTATATTTAGTAAAAAGTCTAAACTAAGCAGCTGCAGCCTCAGAGCTGAGGATCTATTAAACTGTGGAGGATCAATTCTGCCATAATTAAAGATCCATAAAAAATGACTCATTAATATTAATCTTGAAATAATGGCTTGAAATGTAAATAAATGAGCCTTTAAATCAAGGGTGTAACTTTGTGATGAAAGGTGATGGGGACACTTTAAGGGTGGGGGCTGATGGACCTACAGTTAGTCGACACAAACGCTTTCCATAGTTAGGGTAGTTAGACATTAATGTATAAGAAAGGATGAATAACAGCCGATTCTGATGCCAACAGCAATATATCATGCCTCCCTAATATAAACACAATTTCAGTTTAATTCATTCATCCAGAAAAATGTGGATTGATTGATGGATGTTTCTCCTTTCAGCTACATCAGTGATTAACCTCCTTCAAAAGCGACAGAATCGAATTTAGATAATTTTCCACCATATTGTCAAGAGCCAAAATGTTTTAAAATTATTGGTGGGGACATTTCCACACAAGTCCTTCAGAAAGTTACGCCTGTGCTTAAATGCAACAAACTAATAAAAAAAACTAGAGATATACTTAAAAGAACATACATTATTTTAAGCTCATTCTATATATATATTTTATTTTGACTGCTCTATTTTTATCTTTGCACTTTTATTCTCATAGTTAATTTAAACAAAGAATATTTGTTAGTCTCAGTTTTTCCTTTCTGTTTTTATTATCCTGACCTCTTTAGTTTTCTGCCTTATTTTTTGACCACCCAAATATAATTAAAACATTTTTATTCACCTTTATGTAATTTTCTCATTATTTTAGTTTGCTTTTTATTTTTATTAACTCATATATATCTTCTAATTCAACTATTTTATCAGCCAACCGATTTCTCTTAACTGATTCTCATCCTCCCCACCTTCTCCAGAAGCACCATAGAGAGCGTTCTGAGCAGCTGTCTCACTGTGTGGTGTGGAGGCTGCAGCGCCTCAGACTGGAAGAAGGTGAGAACAGCAGAGAGGATCATGGGGGCTCCTCTTCCCTCCATTAAAGACATTTCATCCCAGCAGGTTCTGCAACAGCTTCTTCCCCACCTCAATCAGAATGCTAAACTGTTGAGAAAACTCTAAATCACGTTAGTCTCTGCATCAAACTGACCATATTAATGCGTTTTCTTGCACCATGTCAAAACAAGATTTCATTTTGTAGACACTTTGTATACAAAATGAAAATAAAATTTGCCTAAGTGTAAATCTAAGTCTTGAGCCATTAATTTTTGCATCTTATGTTTCTTCTGCTCGTGTTTCCACCCTTTAGGCTTTATTATTTACTAATTGTTAGTTTGCTTCTTATTTTTGATAACTTGTTCATTTCCGCCTCTCCTTTTTTTTCTCCACCCCTTTTTCTTTCCCCTGCAGCTGTAATTGTAAAAACAGAGCCGCAGGCTTTGGGGCAGCATCACCGCCGCAGCTTTTCTCTCTGATTGTGTCTCTGTTCTGTCCTGTGATGGACTGGAGGTCTGTGCACCCTCTACAGGTCTGAAACCTTAAAGACTGGAACTACAAGTATTGACCCAGAAACAGTTGATCAATTAAGCAGCAGAAACTCTTCATAGAAAAAGCTGCTGAGCTGGAGGAGCTGGAGGAGACAGGGGACGCTGCAGCTTTGAGTCATCAGCTGCTCCAATGAGGGTCTGTGATGTTTTTAATAAGAATAGCTCGGACCCTGAAGAGAAACTGGATGAACTTCTGAAATACCTGCTTTATCACAGCAACCAGTGAGCCTAGATCCATTTATTCATCTATTTTTATCATGATGTATCATCCCAGGATATTTTTCATTTTATGGAAATTATGTTTTGCAAATCCTACTGGAATGATTCTGGGTCTAATGATATATTAGATAAATCCATCCATTAAACTTCCATCACGCTTATCCCAAGTGGGGTGGCGATGGGTGCTGGTCAATGGGCGATGGACTGGAGACCCTGGACAGGTCTCCAGTCCATCGCAGGGCAACACAGAGACAAACAGGATAAACAACCATTAATTCACACCTAAGGAGGATTTAGGCAAAGGCAAGGCAAATTTTTTTGTATAGCACAATTCAGTACAAAGACAATGCAAAGTGCTTTACATGATTAAAATACAGGAAGATAAAACAGAATCAAAGCAGGTAGGAAAAAAAAAAAAAAAAAAAAAAAAAAATGCAGAAACAAAAAAAAGAATATTAAAAACAGTTGGATTAAAGAAAACATGTTTTTGTTGAACTGTTTAACTAGAACAGTGGAAGGCAATCCTAAACAAATGTGTTTTTAGTCTTGATTTAAAGGAACTCAGGCTTTCCGCACTTTTACAGTTTTCTGGAAGTTTGTTCCAGATAAGTGGAGCATAGGAACTAAATGCTGCTTCTCCGTGTTTTTTATTTATTTATTATTGATTTAGAGAAGCTAATTAACCTCAGTCATGTTTTTGGACTTTAGGTGGAAGCCGGAGTACCCAGAGAGAACCCACGCATGCTCAGGGAGAACATGCTAACTCCATGCAAAAAGATTCGAGCTGGGAATTGAACCTGGAACCTTCTTGCTCCAAGGCTGCAGTGCTACCCACTGCTCCACTGAGTAGATAAAACCATCTAAATCTAAATAAATTGTAATGTATAAATGTTTTCCCCCCTTTTATTCAGGCTGTTATTATAAATATGCTCCTGCTTTATCAATATCTTTTAAACTCAGCCTCTGTTGCACCTTTTCCACTCTGCTGTGTTGATCCAGTCTGCACCTTTAAGATGAACCGAGCAGAGCAGAAAGTTTGGAGCCCTGCATGAGATGCTTGATTTATATTAAATCTACCGGGTTAAACGTCTGTCTGGAGACAATGGATGATAACAGAATAAGGAGATCCAAGACTGGCTTCAGGTTTCTGCACCTGCTTAAAATAATGGTTTAATGAAGTCAATCAAAGACATTCTGGCCCAAATGATAAAGTTCAGATTTTATTATTGGAAGAAAACTGCATCAGATTGGAGAAAAAAAACAATGTTTAAAGTTATTAAGTAAAGAAATTGTCTGTCTTAATGATTGATTAGGGTAAAAAAAAAAAGATTAAACATTGAGAATGAAAAATAAAATCATATAAATCCTTTATCTTTTAGTTCAGATACACTAAATCAGTTTAAATAGAATAAACGCTGCAACATGTTTCCAGACGTCAACCCCTCCCCAGAGATCTTCTATATGCTAGACGTCTAACTCTGTTAAAAACATTGCTGTCACTAGATCACCTTTATATCTGTGGTGTCCAGCAGGAGGAACAGCGAAGCTGTGAGGTGTTCAGGGACAGTAAAAACTTTAGATTCTTTGTCTCCTTTTATTGAACCCAAAATGTTTCCGTCTTCTTTTCTCCAACTGGTAAAGTAGCAGCCATGTATTTCAGCCCAGATCTTCTCCTGCTTCCCTTCATTCTTCTGCTCATCTCCAGCAGTTTCTGGACCTTCCGTGCGTCGCTCTTCTCCCTTATCTGGTCAGTCAGGAAGTCCAAGAGGACCAGAGATGAAAGGGAGTCGTCTTGCAGGGCGATCTGCTCCAGTCTGACCACATGGAAATAGGCTTCGTCCATCAGCTGGAACTTCTCTGCTGACAGCGTTCTGCTCTCCTTCTCAAGACTTTCTAAAAGACTCGACTTCTTCATAAATTCTGCTTTGCTGGTTTCATATCTCCTCTTCACATCTTCCAGGGTTTTCTGCACTTTCCTGGTTCTGCGCTCATATCTCCACGCTTGCTTTACATGAGATGAAACATTACAATTACAAACGTTGCAGCGGCTGTATTTCATGACGTCACAGGTGTGAGGAGACCAGGCCATGGTGCACGGATAGTGACAGGTTCTCTCACACGATAAACAGGAGACAGCTGCGTTGTAAAAAAACACCCCCCACATCCCACCATCAAAATAATATTGACCTTGATAGACCTCATCTACATCTATGGTAAACTCCATGTTCCTCCTCATCTCTTCTTCATGGCCCTTCAGGGCTTCCTTAGTCTGTCTGATTTCTGTCTGTTTCTGCTCCATCAGCTGGATTCTGTCCTGCAGGTTCTGGATGCTGGCTGTCAGTTTGATCCGCTCATTCAGAACCTCGTTGGTCATTGCCAGAGGCTGAGGTTTGGCTCTTGTTAGGAACTGGATCAGACGGTCGGTGTGTTTGCAGGATAAGTCCCAGGAATATTTCAGAGCCGCTGCTCTCTCTGCTGTGCCTCTCGCTGAGGTTTGCTTAGAATCCAGCAGGAAGTGGAGCGGCTGCTTCTGCTCATCTTTGGCACATTTGGTGTTTGTAGCTTCCAGGACCTGAATGACGTTTTCAGGAGATGTTCCATCTGAGTGTGTGATCAGAGCTACAATCTTTTTCTCCAAGTCTTTTCCAAAGAGAGACATCACCGAGTCATAGATGTATGTCAGACGGTCGCTTAGTCGGTTCTCACTTGCCTTCACCACCAGACCAACAGCATGAAGCTCATGGATTTCATCCTTTGACTGAAACAGGTCCAATAACCTCTTTCTTATGGTGACATCATGTTCGATACCTCTGCTATTTCCAAACCCCGGAGTATCAATGACGGTCAGGGAGAACGGCAGAGCGTCACCTTCGTAGATCTGATAGACGATCACATCTGACGTTTGGCTTTCAGAGCGACTCTCTTTCTGCCCAGTGATCTGAAACCAGACTTCATCCTCAAACTTCACCTGCATGCTGTAGTTCAGCAGAACATCGATCAGGGTCGACTTTCCTGCTCCTGTTTCACCTACAAGTAAGATTGTTTTATTTGGCTTTGTTGCATCTTTCTGACCAAAACTAAATCTTGTCACCGTTCCGATCTTCTCTTTCTTTGCTCTCAGCTGGTAGACAGCAGGAGGTCCTGGATGGATGGGGAAACTGTCTGAGATGAGCTCCTCGTGGTCTGATGTGATGCATCTCCTCCTGCAGAGAAAAAGTTCAGATGCTCCTCAGGTTATTGTTATTTACTGAAAAAAGGACGTCCCTTTTTTCCTAATGATATTCGATTAGAAGCTGGTTTAATCTTCTCAAATTATGTCCTTTTCTGTTTTAATCCTGGATTTTTGTAAAGAAAAAAGCAGACTAAAGCTCCACTATTTTCTAGATTTATTTTAAAATACTGTTGGGGCATGAACCATGATAATAATTTTGGACATTGAGGAGTAATTTGTTGTGTTATTGTGGTGACAGAAGGAGGGTGTGGATCCAAGATGGTGGAACGCAGCGCCGAGCATTTGTGGAATTGAGCTGATTGTTATTGTTCACATTGTGTTTCAGGCAAGATTTGTTCATAAGTATTGGTTAATCTTAAAAAACAACTGTTTTTTTCCGCTTTATGTAACTGGTGTAACTGAAGATAACTGAAGTTATCTATGAAAAATGCATCAAAAATGAAGCACCTGACGCGTTTTAGCTGTTGTTGCTGCATTTGGTGTAAACGTAGCATTAAGCATTCTGAGCAACAAAAAAGCTCCTCCTGCTTCGCTTCCACACATTAAGGTCAGTCTCGCCTCAAGTGCGTCTTTGATTCTCCAGAAACGCGTCCAGTAAAGTGTGCACAGATGCTTCTGATGCTTCTGTGTTCAATTGTAAACAGCGGCTTTGCTATATTTGCTGTTATAAGTGACTAAAACGTAGTTTTAATTTAACAACTCTTCAGCAAGAAAAGTTGCCATTGCCTGTCGTAAAAGAGGCCAGAAGGCACTGGATGATGTCATCACATAATTTTGGCCACAGGATATTCTGAATCCCTACAATCTTTTTTTTTCTATTTTTCGGCTGTCTGTCAAACCAGCGCAGAGAGATAGGACAGCAGGAAGGGAGAAACAAGGGGATTTGAAGAGTTTTATAGTTAATTTTACAAAAACAAATGAAGAAAATTACATATACTTCAGCTACGTAGTTCCACACTCCATAACAATGGGTGACATAAACGCACTATTAAAAACACGAAGAAGAAAGTAGCAACAGTGCAAAGACACACGGAGACTGGAGGAGCAGAAGGGGAGAGAATGAGGCTGTGTTAGGACTCCTGTCTGTGTGGTCTGTGTTTTTGTGTGTTTGTCTTCCTTCCTCCACGAGGTGGCACCTGGTTCTGATTCTCCTCCTCACACACCTGCAAAGGGTAACCTCATTAACGGAGCGCTCTTAAGCTGCTGACTGCCACTACCTTGACGCCAGAGTGTTTGCCAGTTTTGGGTACTCTAGTCAAACTGAGTTTTTATCAACCTGAGTTTTAATCTTGCTATTTTTGTCTTTGCCTCTTGGCAGGAAGTCATCCTGCAAACTGGATGTTTTGGACCTTCTCTCCCTGGAAGGATCAACTGAGCCTCAAACTGAGCTGGGGATTCAAACTGGAGGTTTGGATCTACTTTTCCCCGAGGAAACCTTTGAGTTTCACACTGAGCAGGGGATTCATCTGCACAACAGTCCGTTCAAGTACCGCAGGAGATCTGAGTGGCTGAGTGGTTTCTCCGTTCTCCTACAAACAACCGCATTCTGGGTTAACCCTGTCCACCCTCCATCAAATGAGACAAACACTGGAACACCCCACACCGACAGGAGTCAAAGAGTCAACCACTTTTCTGGAAACGTGAGTCTGCAAACCTCAATAAACCTGTTTTTTCCCTTGTCTCTCTGTATTCATTTCTCTGCATGTGGGTCCGAGCTCTTGATAAAATCATGACAGGCTGTAGATTGAAAATGCTGTTATTTTATGTGAGAAAACTGTTAGTTAAAAATAATTTTCATGATTAATTTTGCAACCTAGGGCTGGATTAGCAGCAGCTTTGCATAGGCACGTTTCATTTGAAACCTTGATTAGAGTTTACTCTCTGCTGCAGGGCAGGCAGCTTGCTCTGCATGATGAGACAGAGAGGCAGACTTATAATCGTCTTTCACAAGACAGAGTGCCGTGCTTTTATATTCCCAAAGTGTCCATTAACACTGAAAAAGGTGTGAAATTTACAGCTAGGTAATAAAGGCACTAGGTGGGTACAAAATTGTTGCTAGAAGTAGCGACAAAAGCGCTAAACAGGCAAAACTGAGAGATGTGCAAACATCAAGTCGTCTTTTTAGTAAAGACTTTTAAACCGGACTATGTTGGACTTGGAGCTGAATGATTTTTGTTCATAAACTTGTCTATTCTACATTCATGTGTTGATTTTGTGTTGCAACAATTGATGGCCAATAAGATATGTTGTAGTCTAGTCCATAACAAGCTGTTACATTACTAACCAGAGAAAGAACAGTTGGAAAAAACTTTTGCTAGTTTTTGTACGGTCAGTATTTGTTGTGTTTAGAGTTGTATTAGTTTAAGATTTGTGCAATCTATGTAATGTATTTATGTTCTCTCTCAAACAAAGCTAAGCAGATGTATTTTATATATTTATTCTCAGTTTTTATTGTTTATTGTATGCACTCCAACAATATTTGGGTTTTGGACCAAGTAAACATGGCTCTACTTCACATGTTGAAGCTCTCCGTGTTATATTGGGTCTGAGAGATTGCTACAAAATTTCATAATTTATATAAAACTTATACAAGTGCTAAAAAATGTTGTTTTGGAATGTATATAATTGTGTATCAGGGTCAGATTTTCCTGCTAGACCTACCACCAAACCGGACGGAAAACCTCTGGGGAGAGTGAAACTCCCCTCATTTCATCTAACTCCAGAGTACACCTCACACAAAGATCACAAACATGCTGCTTAAGTAACGAGCATTAAAATCTGCAAACTGGAAGATTATTTATAGCCTGACGTAGTCCTACTCAATTCTAGTCAGAATATGAGTCTGATGCTGCTCCATAGAGCTGTGATTATGGGGCGTGTTTCGAACGAACCAGGAAAAAAAATGCCTCTGCACTCAATTGTATAGACCTACAACCAATAAGAGCAACGGAGTGCGTGACGTATGTTAAGCGACGCATAGTTGTTGTCAACAAAAATCAAAGCGTGCAGTTGCACGCCTAGAATAAGAAGATGAGCCTTGATCGCGTTTCTCTGTTCCTCTTTTAAAATTAATTTGCTGTCGATATCTTCTAGAACAGACCTAATAGCAGAATCTACTCACCTCAACTCTCCAGCGGCAGCCATTGTTGTTGTCACCCAAGCGCGCTTTGGTGACGTGGTTGATTACGTTACTGTTGATCATCTGTCCATCATCGTATAAAGCCCGCCCTGACAATTTGATTGGATCGCCAGAGAGTGGGCGATAATACTCGCGCTACTATTGAGCAATGCCAGACCGTACTTCCAGACCTCAAACCTTGTGGGCGTGACTAAGTTCGGAATGGGACCCAGGCTAGATTATTTAGCGAACTGGGTGAAAATCCCGCCGGAAAGATTGACTGGGAACTCTTGTCATTGAATCTGTTAGCCAGTCTCCATTCATGTTCACAAATAAACCGGAACAAACTAGTCAGGCTTGGATGGAACCTGTTCCCTAAGCCTTGTTCTGTATCATGCTTTTATTTTTACATTATAATACAAGAACAGCTTTCTCTAATAATACACCTGAAACTATAGACAGCTCTATCCTTATGTTTGTGAGGTTGATAAAACAGTTTACACTTCGGAACGACAGGCAACGTTTACTTTAAACTACAGGAAGGGAAAATTCACCCTTTTAAAATGAGCCTCATGTGATTTCAAATGTCTGGATTTAACTATGTGAACATTAACATTTATTCAACCAAACGCATGGAAACACTTTCTGGGACCAGGACTTACTTTTCCATCAGCGCCGCTCTGGTTCGGTCATCCATCCTGTTGCTCATCTCCTCCAGTTTCTTCAGTTTTTCTTGGTCTCCTTTCTCCTTCATCTTCTTGATTAGGAAGTCCAGTAGAACATGAGTGGATCCAGAGTGAACTGATCTGATCTGATGCAGCCTGACCACGTGTTGGTAGGCTTGGTCCAGCAACTGGAATTTCTCAACTAACAGTTGGTCCATTTGTTTAGAAAGATTTTCAGAAAGTTTCATCAAGTTTTGAATCGTTCCCTGATTCTGCTCTTGCTTTTGTGCTACTGTTATTTCAGAGAGTTGGACTTTTCTGGTTCTGATCACATATTTCTGGTTGTCTTTGACATGATACGATGCGGGACACTTGTTGGTGCATGAAGTACAGTTTCCATCTTTCATGACTTCACACTGTATTGGACTTAAGCCCATTTTACATCCGGGATAGTGACAGTTCTCCTCACAGACAGCACAGCAGACGGCTGCAGATGGTCCTGCTCTGATTGGTTCTGTGTCTTTGAAGGCTTCAGGAACTGTAACAGTGAGCTGCTCAGTTTTCCTTTCTTCTGTGTGTTTCTTCAGCTCTTCCAAAATAAGACGAATATCTCTTCGTTTTAATTCGGTGAACCTGATTCTGTCTTGCAGGTTGTGGACACAGGCTGCCAATCTGGCCCTTTCTACCAACACTTCAAATGTAGAGGTCAGTTTTTTAGGCTGGGTGGTTCTCAGAAACCTTGCGAATGAAAGACTACCAGTCTCCGCTATTCTCCATGCTGTTTGCAACCCAAAACAATTTTTTGGAATTCTTTGTATCTTCTGTTGGTTATTGAACGTAAAGTTAACTTGGCTCACCACTGTTATCCTTCGAACATTCAATGTTTGCCTTCTCTAGAGCTTTAAGGACCTCGTGTGGAGGCATTCCATCAGAGTGTGTGATCAGAGCTACGGTGTTTTCTGGTCCAAACAGAGAAACCACTGAATTAAAGATGTACTGCAGTCGATCACTGACTAGATGATCAGTCACCTTCATCACCAGACCCACTGCATGAAGGTCAGGAACTCCATCCTCTGACTGAAACAAGCTTAGTAACGTCTGACTGACTTCATCATCATGTAGGATCCCTCTGTCGTCTCCATATCCAGGAGTATCGATGATGGTCAGAGAGAACGGCAGAGTTTGATCTTCAAACCCAAAGATCTGATAGACGACCACATCTGAGTTCTGACTCTCTGACTGACTTTGCTCTTCCTCCTCCTCTACAATCTGGAACCAGACTTCATCCCCAAATCCCACTCCCATGCTAAAGTTCAGTAGAGCGTTGATCAGAGAAGGGTTTCCTTTTCCTGCCTCACCTACTAAAAGGATGGTCTTATTGGGTTTGTTCCACCTTTTCTCCCCAATAGTGACTCTGGTCCAAGCTTCAAATCTGCTGGTTCTCGTTTTCAGCCGATGGACAGCAGGAGGTCCAGAGCTGACCAGAGAGCTGTTCGAGATGACAGCCATAAATTTGAATGGTGGCATCATATTGCTGTCGAAGGGGTAAAAAAAAATTCATAATTAGTCATTTGATAAAGCAGCCAATTCTTAAAGACTTTTTGTATTGGCAAGGAATCAAGTTTAAAAAATATCCAGAAGTGCTTTAAATAATAGTAATTATGATATTTGTTTGTTATTGAACCTTTTCTACATTCTGGTGAAAATAGTTTCTGTATGTAAATCCACAAAAGCTGTAAGTAGCTTGCCGCACCCGGGGGGGCATAACAACTAGGTTACCCCTCCCTCTATATTTGTTTTCCTTGCTAGCTTTTTTTTAATTCTTACTATAATTAAAACAATCGCCTGGAAATGAATGTCAGAAATGTCTAAAAATAGTTTGCATTGAGATTTTGATTATGAAACAACTCCTGGCCAAAAACCCAGTGGCCGTCTGTGGAATTATCTTTTTTCCCTCTGAGTAACCAAAGTGTTCTTTCTGTGTTTTTGTTCAAAGAATTATTTGAGTCCAGGTAGCCAATTAGGTTTCAGGACTTTAAAACCAGGGTCCATTTTTCTAGTGTTAGTGAGAACAATAGCAAGAACACCGTGTTTAGTTGTAGCTGCCTGATTTTTTGGCAGACCAGTGAAGATACTCTTATAGTAAACAATGCAACTGAACGTCAAAGCATGATGACCAAGTGAAACACTTCTACAACAATGGAAGAGGAGTAAGGAGGCATAAGAATGCCAAGTTAGTTAATAATTACAAGTCTTTTGAATATTTAACCATTAGTTTCCCTCATCCAAACAACAAGGTAACAAAAGCTCTTCTTTTTGTAACTTTGTATCATCCACCAGGACTTTACTCTGAATTTTTAGATAAGTTTTCAGAGTTCCTATCTTATTTATTTTTAATACTGAACGGGTCATCATAGTCGGCGATTTTAACATCCACGTTGACATGGAAGATGATAGCCTTTAATGCTATCTTAGACATTATTGGCTTTGTTCAAAATGTGAGTAGTCCCACACATTCTCATCTTCATACTTTGGTCCTTGTACTGACATATGGCAGTTGCCTTTTGTATCTCTGCTTCTTTTTCAATGTCTTATTCTGTCTGCTTGAACTCCAAGCGGCCTCAGCAGATGGCCTTTCACACTGAGCCTGGTTCTGTTACAGGTTTCTTCCTGTTAAAAGGGACCATTACTTTCCACTGTCGCCTCAAGCATGCTTGGTGTGAGGGATTGCTTTTGTTTCAATGACTTGATACAATCAGCTGGTTTGACTTTGATAAAAAAAAAAAAACTTTAAATCAGTCTGATGGTATGATCTGGTTGAATTGTCTCTGTAAAGTACCTTGAAATGCAGGCGCTATATCAATTAACTGAACTGAAAGAATTAGGATTAGAGATTTGACACAGACTAATGACCCACCCTATCAGATAGACACCAATACAGTTTTCTGATATCACTGAGGTATAAGAACCACCATAACACATTTTCAGGGCTTATCTTCATTTTTTTGATGCCATAATGAAATCAGCTGCAGTGCTTTAAAATTATTTACTTTTTCCCTGCTAGGCATTGATTAAATCGTGTTAAAGTTTATGTTCTTGGATCCTTTCTGTTTCAAGGACAAATGGCCTATATCACACAAATAACCTGTTTACATTTATTTTAATTGGGACTGAATCTAATTAAATTAAAATGTTATTTTGTAATCACATTTTCATTGTTTTTTATTTGAAACAGCCCAGTGCCTTCAAAAGAGATGCCGTGATTGTTTTCCTAACATCGGTAAGTTTACTCAGGTGCTTCAAACAATGCACGGTGAGAGAAGACAAAGACAGAGTAAACCTCAAACATCCATCTGGGGTGGACTGCAATGATCTAGCTGTCTGCATTGTTCTTCAATAAGTTTAAACATTACTTTTAAAACAAGTTAATAAATCATGACAATGCGAGTCAATAGATAAATATTGGAAAGGGTTCCAAATATTTTAATGTAGAAGTTTGCTTATATTGCCTTGCGATAGACTGGTGACCTGTCCAGGGTGTACCCCTGCTCCTTGCCAATAGACAGCTGGAGATAGGCACCAGCACCCCTCGTGACATCAGCAGGAATAAGCATCACAGAAAATGGATAGATGGAAGTTTGTCTATATTAAGGTAAGCTTACATTAGTATCCATGTACATAGCAGGAATCACTAATCACACTCATGGTAGTGCTTCTTTAGTTTTTAAAGGACTTTAAATCAATTTGATTTGGTAGATTTCCACAGCAAACTAGCACAGATGCTCAGAAACGCCATCAGCGTCCGTCTAGCCCGGTTGTTTTTTAAATGGTATAGTTTATGGTGAAGTTACTTAAAGCTACTCAGTATGAGCCATACCTACGGCTCATTTGCACATGTGCAAGCAGATATTCATCTAGGTCGCCATAAATAATGTAATCATGATACTAAAAGTATTTATTTCTTTTCTTAAATCACAAAAAAATGCTACTATGTCTTGGCTCATTGTCTTTTCCCATCTGAACATTGCCTGAGCTCTCTATGGACTCCTGGAACCCTTGGCCAGCCTGTTCCTGTTAAAAAAGGAATCCCTGATCGGGCTTCGGACCACTGGACCTCTAAGCCTTCCTTTTCTGATCCGTTTCCCTGACCTGGCTCAGACTTATGATTTCCCTCTGGGACTGCAGCATCTGGTTCACTCTTGGCGGAGCAAACTGCATCTAATTGGCAGCCCTGCGGCTGGATCCTACTGCGTTCTTTGGAGGTTGACTGACCTGTCAAACCAGTTAAGTGACTCACATAGATAATCCTTTTCTGTCAGATTATCATGGTCACTTACCTGTCTTTTTCCCACAAGAGTTTGCAGTGATGGGCTTTGCCACTGCAGGTCTGGTTGTGTATTTTTTAATAAACCCTTTGAATCATCCCACTGTCTGTCCTGCCTTGACTACTGCGTCCTTCTGTTCTGAGCTTTATGACAGTTTGACCATGATTTGAGTATTATTCTAACACACAGCCTGTAGGGCGTGTGTTCATAAACAATATATCATTAACAATATATGCAATAAGTATATTAAAGTTTCACAACAACAGACATCATCATCGTGGTCAGAGTAGTCTGGCAAAATATGAATAAAACCATATTTATCTTTATTTCAGTTGTTTCTTTTAGATTACACACTTTATACCATAAGGTTAATATGAAAGAATAAAAAAACAAAACTCAAAAGACTAGATTCATGGATATAAATCCATTTATATCCAGTGTTGTGCCTGAACGCGTTCATTGAACGAAAGTTCATGAACTCGTTCATATTTTGGGCGAACGTGAACTGAACGTACTGCATTATTGCCTGGTGAACGTTATTGTGAACTCGTTCATTCTGGTGTCTGTGAACGGCACGCTCTCTCAGTTCAGCTCCGTTCAATAGGTTGCCAGATTTCTATAGAGTCCTCCAGGCGAAACCCCGGCTAAATCACACCGTAAACAGGCCTTAATATGTAGCGGGAAAAACACCCAATCTGGCAACACCAGCTACCAGTGTCGTAGCCTACAGCCGCGTGCGTCATCAAAACAAAGTGCAGCGTGGAAGCCACAGCAGCATGGAGGCGACCGTGGAGGCGACAAAGCAGCAGTATGATCACTTAAAACAGGTTTATGACCAGGTGGTCGGTGAGGATGATGGCAACAATCTTACATTTCTCTGCAAACTTTGCCCGCCGGCTTTCAGTGAAAAAATACGCACTTAAACCTGCCTGGTATAATTTTCCAGGATTCCAGGATTTCTTTTTAGTATGTATTGAAATGAAATTTCAAATGGAAAAAATATTAAAATAAAAAAAAAAACATTTGCACCTTAAAGACTACTTTCCTGTTTTTCTTTTAATAATTCCTCATAAAAAAGACCATTCAAGCAGCACATTTTTTCCTGATGTTTTTGAGAATATACTGTAGGGGTGAAAGCTGCAGCTGCTACTAGTGTGAAGTGAATGGACAGCAACAAAGCATTAAAGCAACAATGGGGAAATGCTGTCCCCTCAATGCTAATGTAAACCCTGGTTGGATAAGGATTCAAAACTGGATATGAAGATGAAATCTGACGCACAGTTTCAGAGTTACAACTGATAAAATAATTGCTGTCTGTGGTTCTACAGTAGGCTATGGTGTAATTGAGCAATATATGAAAAAAAAAAACAACTATGAACAAGTTCATTTTTTCTAACTGTGAACTTAGTTAAAAATTTGGAATTATGAACTATGAACTATTATTTGAATTGAGAAAGCTTCCTCGAGAGGTGGCGAAACGTCTTCAAATCTTGAAAACCAAGTCCAGTGGATATTTTTTGAATTTTTACGGAATGGTATTACAGGAGACAACCCCCCCCCTTAATGGCAATCCCCCCTTTAACGACCGACCCCTAGAATCATAGACAGGTTCAGATATTACAGGCTAACGATGGAACTAACGACCCATTCATCGGTTACCATTGCTTGTTTCCAAGCGATACAAGGCGTTGTCTATATAAGACTCAAACTCACTGCGGATCCAAACATTTGAATTGAGAAAGCTTCCTGGCAGGTGGCGAAACGTCTTCAAATCTTGAAAACCAAGTCCAGTGGATATTTTTTGAATTTTTACGGTATGAACTATGAACTGAACTAGTTCATTTTAAAATGTGTGAACTGAACTTTGAACTATTTCACGTAGAAAGAGAACTTTCCCAACACTGTTTATATCCATGTATATAAATCCAAGGCTGAAAAAGTTAGCCCCCAGAAGTAGCATAGGATCCCATTTCCAGTACAGACAAGTGATAAAAACCAACAATTTTAATGTATTTATTTTCTCAGGAAATACATTATTAACCTTTAACACATTGTTTAGTACGCTTGCTATTTTTAAAGAGGAAAAAAATGCAATTTAGGTATTTTTTACTAATTAAAATGGATGGCGACCAGGATGTATATCTGGTTGTGCAAATGAGCTGATGGTAAAGATTGTGCTACCAGTACAGGTCTGGTAGTGACAATGGTCACTATTGCAGGTGTTCACAACAAGGCTAACATGACACAAGGTTTTCTGTTAATTTCTTTCGTAGAAGGTCAGACATTTTCCCGATTTTAAAAGAGTCATCTATCAGGTTAGAGAAGAAATATTTCAGTTTATAAGTATAAACCCCTGATAAAGCTTTGCCCATTAGTCTATTTCTAGCTCTGCCGCCACACGGTAATTATAGGCCTTCAAGTGTTTAGAAAGGTTTTAATGATAAAAATCTACTATTACTATTTGTTCAACCTGATTGTGTTTTAAATTGCAGTAATGCTGTTTTTCCACATTTTTGTGTTTTTTTTTTGTTTTTTTTTGTAATTTCTTATTTGAGATGCTCTTGTTTCTCTGTCAGGATTCTATGTCACTCTTCCCTCCCGGTGTAATCTGGCTCTTTCACCTTTTAGTAGAGATGTAGAACAAGATTTTTTAAAAATAACTAGAACTAGAGTTCCCACAGAAGAGAGTAAAGACTGCATAGCTGTTCTCCTAATAACATAGCATAGCTGAAACCCTAATAAATGGATAAAAAGTTCAGCTGGCAGTCAGACTTTAGTTCATCAGATGAGTATCAATCACAGTGTTCATTCTGTCACCTTCAGTGGCATAAAGTGTAGATTTGACCTCTACATCTTTAGTATTTTTGTAGATATGGATTCAATATCAAAATTTCTCTGTATTTAAAAAAAAATCATTTACTTCAGTCATACTCACTATATTGCCATGGTAACGCCTCAAGCTGAAATCAGAGTCAAAGCAGATAAAAAAACATGAATTTTCACTTTCCACAAGATGACATTCAAACATAGAACAGACACAGCAGTCTCTAAGTAATTTATCAGTAGATTTAAAATCACTAAAGCAAATATAAGAACATATTACACGCCTCATCTCAGAGCTCTGACTATTTACTCCCAATCATTACCGACCTCTGGTCCTTTACTATAACTCATTGGATTAATCTATTTTACTATAGATTAGAAATCACTGCTAACATTTTAATCTGTGAATATTTGTCGCAGTACATGAAGGACGGAATATCAGAACCATGTGTAGTTCACAAAATCTTTTTTCAAATTGTTAGTGTTAATTCTAAAGCAGGAATTGTTTTTACATTAAGTCTGTCGACCACAGGGCTGGTTGGTTTCATGCTAAGAGACTTTTTTTTTCTGAAATATTGGCTTATCAGTTTAGACTCAGTTATATTCAGAAACTTTAGCTTTGTTTTCATATCCTTATTTGTTAGACAAATTGTTAAAAAAAACTGTTACATTTTTTATCTGTCCAAACATTTGAGGATAAAGAAACAAAAATAATTGTAAAATAACAGATTTCTCACAGAAACATTACCTTTTTATCAGTTTAATATTTTCTAAATTATCTGTCTGTAGTATCTATATTACTTCAGCTTTTTGCTGCAGAGATCTTACCTTTCAATGATGGTCGGGAAAAAATTTACAGCACTGAGCTTCAGAGAGAATGAGGAAGAGTCTGAATTCTTCTTTTAGTCTTCACCCTGGAACAGGTGGAACCTGTTATCATGTGACTTCTAATGAACTGTGAGCTGGATCCTGCTCCGATATGTCTATAATCTGCAATCGTAATTAGAAACAACAGATATGAAATGTTCTTCCTCTTAAATAGCTGTTTAACTTCATGTATTTAATCAGTTTATATATCTGAATTCATAAATATATATATATATATATATATATATATATATATATATATATATATATATATATATATATATATATATATATATATATATATATTTTTTTTTTTTTTAGGATTTTCCGACTGAACAAATATTCCTCAGAGACTGGAGGAAAGAAGTTAAATTAATCCATGTTAGACTGTCGAGCTTCAATTAGTCTATTTACAACCAAAGTTAGTTGCTGAGGTTTAGGGTTAGACTGGTTTGTCTACATAATGTTTCAGATTGTCAGGTGTGGCTCCAGGAATGGATAAAATTCATGCTTCCTCAGCCTTTGACATAGAGAAGTACAAAGAAACTAGAGAGAAAAATCCTGCCTTTTCAGCAGGATCAATGTATTGCAATGTTTTTGCAGCAATAACTTTATTACTGCTGTATGCTATATATGATTTTAGATAATAAAGTAAAAAATGTTGGTGTTATTTTTGATCAGGACCTGTCATTTAAATCCCAGATCAAAGAGGTTTCTAGCATTTCCCTCTTTCATCTGAGGAATATTGCAAAGATTAGAAATCTCCTGTCCAGGGGTGATGCTGAGAAACTAGTCCATGCATTTGTTACTTCAAGGCTGGAAATGAAAAAGAGAGATCATATCTCTCTTATCCTGGCTTCTCTTCATTGGCTTCCTGTTAAATCCTCACATATAAAGCCTTAAATGGCCAAGCTCCATCTAATATCAGAGATCTGATTGTTCCTTATGTTCCTAACAGAGCGCTTCGCTCTCAATCTGCAGGTTTACTAGTGGTTCCTAGAACTTCTAAAAGTAGAATGGGAGGCAGATCTTTTAGCTATTAGGCTCCTCTCCTGTGGAACCAACTACCAGTTTTAGTCCGTGAGGCAGACACCCTGTCTACTTTTAAGGCTAGGCTTAAAACTTTCCTTTTTGATAAAGCTTCTAGTTAGAGTGGCTCAGGTTATCCTGATCTATCTCTATAGTTCTGCTGCTATAGGCTTAGACTGCTGGAGGACATAGGGACCCCTTTTTCATCATTCTGCTTCATTCTATCTCTATTCTCCCACTCTGCAGAATCTGTTAGTTCTACTCTCTCTGCTTTTTTTTCATCCATGAGAGAAATATCAGCTGTGCTGCTGCCATCAACACCTTTGTTTCTAGATGTTGGAGTTTGGCCTGTTTTCCAGTGTAGTCCTGTTTCTCTGACTGTGACTAACTGGATGTGCTCTCTTTGTCCTCTGACATGGGAGCTGGCTCTGAGCTCGTCTGCCTGGCTGTGTGTTTCCTGGATGGGGCCGCCTTTTACAGCTGCTTTTTGTATCTCTGCTTCTGTGTTCTGGAACCCCAGTCGGCCTCAGCAGATGGCCTCACACTGAGCCTGGTTCTGTTGGAGGTTTCTGCTAGGTTTATTTAATGATGATTATAAAATTAATGTGTGCTTAAACATTTTTGCGAGGGGATGCTCCACTCCTGTCTCATGATTCAGTCAGGAGACCATCCTGCCTTGTCATTCTGATGGAGCAGTCTGTCAGAACAATACTCTGTTTGTTACCATGCGTCATGTTCTGTTAATAAACGCTCTGCAGAGGAGGTCCAGTGGGAGACAGTACGTTTGAGTCTGGGGTTCAACTGTCTCTTCTTCCTGCAGGAATTGTATCGATAAGTCTGTATTTCAGTTCTTCTTAAGAAAAAACCTATTTATGAACCCGACATTTTGGTGCCGAAAGCCGGGAGTCAAGATCCAATTGTCCAGGACCGTGTGGGACCAAGGCCAAGAATCTGTCGACAGCCGTCCTCCCTTCGCCGGACGGGGCCAGTTTGGTCCAACCCTGCCCTGGGCATCTTAGTGACGGCTCTAGAGGAACTGATTCTACACGACAAAGGGTAGGCCTAAAGCTTTTGATCAAAAGTTGGTCTAGGACCATTTAAGTTACAGCTGTAGTCGCAAGATTATTTGATGAGACCAATTTTTTTGACGGATATGGCATCTGGGTATTCTGTGTGTTAGAGTGTGAGACTGTGTTGTTCTCGAGATAGTAAGGTTTGCAGCTGCCGCAGCAGGGATATTTGACAGATACAGCATCTGGGTATCTGGTGCGTGCAAGGGCCTGGAGTTGGAGACTCCAAAGTGTACACAATAGGTGTTTTTTGTCTATGTTGGTTAAAATAAAAAATATAATAGGCCTTAGAATAGGTGTGTGTGACTGTGTGAGAGTGTGTCAGGAAAAAATCGAACCTTTAAGGTTCTGTTGTTTCATGCTAAAACAGCAGGGGTTAATACAGCACAACTCTTGTGGATGCAGAGGCAAGAATTTCTCACCTGAAAAGGTAGAAGCATAAATTACCACAACAGTTTTCGGGTGCTGTCCTGCTGAATAAACATCCAGTGCTTAGAATACCCTAGGTGTTTGTACTGGACTAAATTCTTTAAAATGGGAAAAGGTCAAAATAAATTTAGGGGTTATTTAAAATCTACGATTAGAAGTTTGTAGAAGCGCAGGATCCAACCAAAAATAAATACTTGAATATATAGTTTGAAAAAAAAAATGGGTTCGAGGGACGCCTCTATTCCAAGATAAAATAAGAAGAACTAAATGATAAAATAATAGAACTAAAGTGAGCCAGGGAGGTAAAATAATTAAAAAGGATGGGTTCAGGAAAGAGTATAGAGAAGATCATAAAGGGGATGAAAAGTTTGTGTCAGATTGATCCAAGTAACTTAAAATACTTGTAGAAGTGGAAGTAAAAGTTTGAAATAGATGGTGTGTAGAAGTAGATCAATGTAGAAATGTTATGTGCTGGCTAAAAACAAGCACTAGTGAAAAAATAGATAAATGAATAAATATATATAAATAAATACATAAATAAATAAATATATAAATAAATAAATGAGCTCCAAATGGCAAGTTGCTGATATAATACATGCACAAAGTAGATATGTTATTATTAAAAATTAAATAAATAGATCTAATGTTGTGTTTGTCCGGTTTTAATGTAATGTGTTGTTAGAGTGATAATTATAAAATTATTGTGTGGACATATGAAACATTGAAAGAAAGAAGATGCTACATTTGTATCCTGTGATTCAACCAGAAGGGTCATAAACTTTTATGACCTCCAGTAGGTCATGAGGCAGAGTCACATGGTTGTGTGACTTCCATCCAGCCAGTTGGTCAATTCACACTATCTTATTACCTGCATCCTCCCAGATAATCATTACTGGGTTTTCTGTTTTAGGCCCGCCTTATGATGTTGTAAACTGTTAATAAAAGGCTTTGCCATGAAGGGATCTGTGTGAGAAGGTGCTGGTTTCGGAGCCAACACCTTCTCTCCGCTTCTGCAGACGCTGACGTCATTACAAAACCCTGTCTCTATGTTGATTATTTCCTCTTAATCTTTTAAACTCACATTTCTCTGGATTAAAACCCAACATGTGTTTCTGCCCTTAAAGTTATGTTAGTGGGTCTTTTAAGTTGTTTGTGTGTCCAAAAGATAATGAAACACAGTTTAGAGGGAGACAGCTTAAATCTGCACAAGCGTGGGGGGGATATCACTAGAGCGGTGACTGCAGCATTGTTCCAGTTGACAGCCTTCCTTAATGCGCCTGCAGGGTCTCCAAAATTATTACGTTCGGAACCAAAAAAATTAAAAATTAATAACCCACAAGAAAATTATTTTAGTCATGCAAGGTACATACAGGGAATAAAAAAAATTAGAGGGATTAAATAAGTGGATTGTGCAAGCTAAAACACAGAAACAGCTGTGAAGTGTAGTTTGGACCATAATTGGGCTCAAGGGAGAGGCCGGTGGTCACAGGGGAAAAACAAGGGGTCACGTAGAAAGCAAAATAGGTGCTACAATTGTGATAAGGAGGGCCACTTTGCTCGAGAATGTCCAGACCCCCGCAGAGTGACCCTCCCCGTCACCAATGTTATGACCAGCACTGATGCCAGCAGTCATGTGCACCAGCAAAAATTGCAGTTAATTGTGGACCCAGTGGAGGTCCTGGACCTACAGCAAATTTTCTTTTCTTTTTTAAACACATCAGAAAAACCATACTGGCATTTAAACATTCAAGGGGTAAAAGTAAAATTCCTGTGTGACACCGGGGCCGATAAATCTGTTGTGAAAAATACAATACCTCAGATTAAACCAGGATCAAAATAAATCACTGTATTCTCTGCTGATGGGAGAATGGTGGTTCGGCGCATTTCTGAAAAACAATTGGTCACTGATGAAGACAAATTCACGGTGGAAGCTGATTTGTTAAGCCCAGACTGTCCAGTTAATCTATTAGGCAGAGATTTGTTAAGGAAATTGCAATTAGTGCTGGAGCCTACACACAGAGGGGTAGTGGGGAAAAGATGTACATGCTGTAGGGGGAAGTTACTCCAGAGAAGCAGCTGACACACTTGTGATACATTCAGGCTCATTCCCAAAAACATGAATAGTTCTAGCAATTAATGGACAAGCAGTTAGACTTATTTGCGAATCAGGAGCCTGTAATACTTGTGTTAAAGATAATGTAAATGCTAAAACCATCTAAAAGGCACATTTTTATAAAATCAGCAAATAATCAAACATCCTAGACAAGAAAAAGGTTGCAAGGTTGCATGTTTTTGAAGCAATATCACCAACTCACCCCATTAATCTGTTAAAGTGAGACTTGATGGAAAATTTGGCATTGCAATTTTCCCCACGCTGGGGGAATGAAGGCTGTATGAATAATACATGTAATGGTGTTGCAACCAAATCCTTCTGTGTTCTATGCAACATGCTTAGCATTTCTGCTCCATGTCTGTTTTTCCAA